ACAAAGGCAAACAATGTAACCTAATGGTTTATACCTTTATATTAACCTGAAGAAAATGGGGGGGGGCAGCACCTGTGGCTCAAAGGAGTAGGGCGGCCACGGCACTCTACCCAGGGTGACAGCTTGAGGCTCTGTCTCAAAAAAAAAAAAAAAAAAAAAAAAAAAAAAAAAAAAAGAAGAGAAAAAAAAAATAGGTAAGGGGCTGTATTTACTTTTATTGTGAAAGTTAACTAACAAGAAAATAAAAAGCAAGGTAGCCTGCCACCTCTCGGCCACTGATGCAAGGTGAGGTCAACACCGATTGTAAAGTGCAGCGGGCAATGTGTGAGGCACCACCCAGGTGTAGACATGCCTTAAGAATCAAATAAGAAAACTACTTTGAGATATCATCTAACTCCAGTAAGATTAGCCCACATCACAAAATCCCAAAACCAGAGATGTTGGCATGGATGTGGAGAAAAGGGAACACTGCTACACAACTGGTGAGAACGCAAACTAATACATTTCTTTTGGAAAGATGTGTGGACAACACTTAGGGATCTAAAATAGACCTGCCATTCGATCCTACAGTTCCTCTATGAGGTATATATCCAGAAGACCAAAAATCACATTATAGCAAAGATATTTGTACCAGAATGTTTATTGCAGCCCAATTCATAATTGCTAAATCATGGAAGAAGCCCAAGTGCCCATCGACCCACAAATGGATTAATAAACTGAGGTATATGTACACCATGGAATATTATGCAGCCTTAAAGAAAGATGGAGACTTTATCTCTTTCATGTTTACATGGATGGAGCTGGAACATATTCTTCTTAGCAAAGTATCTCAAGAATGGAAGAAAAGGCTTGGTGCCTGTGGCTCAAGTGGCTAAGGCACCAGCCACATACACCTAAGGTGACAGGTTCCAATCCAGCCCGGGCCTGCCAAACAACAATGATGGCTGCAACCAAAAATAGCTGGGCGTTGTGGTGGGCGCCTGTGGTCCCAGCTACTTGGAAGGTGGAGGCAAGAGGCTCACTTGAGCCCAGAAGTTGGAGGTTCCTGTGAGCTATGATGCTACGGCACTCTACCCAGGGGGACAGCTTGAGGCTCTATCTCAAAAAAAAAAAAAAAAAGAATGGAAGAAAAAGTATCCAATGTACTCAGCCCTACTATGAAACCATATGAAAGCTATAAACCCAATTATAGCCCAGGAAGAAGGGAAAGAGGAGAAAGAGGGAAGGGGAGGAGGGAGTGTGGGTAGAGGGAGGGTAATTGGTGGGACCACATCTATGGTGTATCTTACAAGGATACATGTGAAATTTACTAAATGTAGAACATAAATGTCTTAACACAATAACTAAGAGAATGCCATGAAGGCTATGTTAACCAGTTTGATGAAAACATTTCAAATTGTATATAAAACCAGCACGTTGTACCCCATGATTGCATTAATGTACACAGCTATGATTTAATAAAAAAAGGAATCAAATAAGAAGCTCTCTTGACTTCTGAACATTAAATGCCTAGCATTGCGATAGTAGGCTGATAATCTCTGCCTCGCAAGTCACCACAAGCATGTGTAATATCTGATTGTGTCAACTCAGCCCCACGTGCATACCCATAGCAAGAGCGTGTGTATGTTTATTTTCACTGACACTGCATCGGGATGTTGTCCACAAAGTTCAGTGTCTGAGAACTATGCAATAGAGCTCCACCAAAAAGTCACAAATCTCATAATGTTTTAAGTCAGTTTATGATTTTGTGTGCACCACATTCATCCTGTGGGTTGGACACCCCTGAGCTAGAGCTTGCTTGCCTCCCTTCAACCTTATGCATTTGGTGATTGGTTCACATTGGTCATCTGCAGGTTCCATTTTGGGTGTGTTGCGTCTGAACCATCAAAGTGAACCATCAAAGCAATGCTTGGTGGGGAATCTCCAGATCAAAGTGCATACATTAAAAAGGGAGAGAGTTTGAAAATCAATAATCTGGGCTTCCTTTTCAAGAGTTAGGAAAAGAGCACAGGAAATTATGCCCCAAGTAGAAGGAAAGACATAATAAAGAGTGGAAACCAATAAAATAGTAATCAAATATTCAACAGAAAAAAAAGAAGAAAAACTAAGTCTTTTGGTAAAAATTAATAAAGTGCAATTACTCCTAACAAGACTAATCAAGATAAGGGATATTCACTGGGTATTGTGGCAGGTGCCTGTAGTCCCAGCTACTCAGGAGGCTGAGGCAGGAGGATCTCTTGAGCCCAGGAGTTTGAAGTTGCTGTGAGCTATGATGCCACAGCACTGTCTCAAGAAAGAAAAATTTTAGCTACCCACCTAAATTATGCACAGGGATACATAGCATTTTCAAAACTTCTGAATGGGGCAGTGAGCAAATGTGGCAGCTGCAGTGATGAGTTCTGGATGACACGGTGTCCCTGTCCTCTCAGAGGCCACCTGCGCATGCTGTGGAGGGACCTGGATGGCCCCATGCAGCTGAGCCCACACTGGTCACTTCCAGGTGCTTCAAGCTATCTTGCCGGGCTGTGGGGGTCTACCCACCCTTGGAGCTCTCCCACTACCAAATCAAGTTTGCAGCCACTGTCTTGTATGACACCTCCGTGGCCGTGGTGTACATCAGCAACTCCCACCTGAGCATGAACTCCCTGACCCACTCTGTGCCCCGGATTGGCTCAGAGGATGCCTTCCCCGTGGGGCCAACGTCTTTCGAATTCCTGCCACCCCCAGACTCACCAATCACCATCACACCCTTAGTGGGGACCGTGTTGCCAGGGAAGGTAGGTGTGGGCCCCTTGGGTAGACTGGGAGGTGGCTCTAGGCCACCATTCATTTACCCCCAGAGTGCCTGGTTCTGCTCATCCTTAACCACAGGGAACAACCTTACCCCTCATCTGACCCAAGCAGGGCCAAGGAAGGCTCCATGGCCACCAAGCACGGGGCCAGAGGCTGCCATGGGTAGTGAGAAGAGACTGCAGGGCCAGCAGTGCCCCTCCCACACTCCACTTGGGGCCTGTCCTGGAAGAACCTTCCTGTGGGGACTGGCTGTAGATGAGTGACCAGATTTCTAAAACAGAAGTGCTTTGGAAAGACTGGTATATGGGGGAGACAAGTTATGGTGCAGGACCTCACCCTTGATACTCCACAGCTGAAAAGGAAGGTTCATTTCTCATGGGCAGTGGGCAGGGTTCTGGTCTACTCAGAGCTCTGCCCCAATACCTCCCATCACCTGGACCTACACCCCTGGCTGGGGGGCTTGCTAATTGTGCACTAATTGTCCAGTGGAGAACGTGGGGCTGATCTGGGCAGGCACCAGCAGGTGCTCCTGGGAGGTGGGGTGGCAGCCTCAAGGCTCACAGCCTGGGGCCCTGTCTCCGCTCAGAGGTGCCTGGTCCAGGTGGCCTTCCGGCCCGTCCTGCCCGAGGAGCTGATCTGCCAGGAAGCCCTTCGGATTGCGAACAAAGAAATGGAGACCAAGCTGGTGCGTAAGGCCCCAGGAGGGGGATAGCAGAGGCACCAGGAGGAGGAATGTGGGCTCCAGAATCTTGAGGGGCTCAGGGGTATATGGGGGTGCTGCCCTTGCCAAGGGACAAGCCCTGCTGCCCTGAGGCTCTTGGGGCAGACTTCTCCAATGCCTTGTGTCAAGCTGTACGCAAGAGGCTTAAACTTCTTACCAAGATACCTCCCTCTTGAAAAGCACCACCAGGCAGAGGGGAGTCCAGTGGTGGCCTCTGAAGGGTGAGGGTTCACCCACCTGCACTGGTTAGCCAGTAACAAAGGCAGGACACAAGAATGTCCTGCCCCAGAGTGACCCCATGAGTGGCCGGCCCTGGAGGGACGCTGGGCTCCCACCCCACATCTGGCAGCTTGTGGGTTTATAGCTTCTACAGCATACAGACAGGAGAATGTACCCTCCAGCCTTGCCAGCAGGCAGTGAAAGGAGGGAAAGGCAGCAGGGCAGGGGCCCAGTTCTGGTGGGCTCTTCACTGCCCTTATGCTTCAGTTTCCCCAGGGGTGAAGGTAGGTTCTGGAGTTGCTAAGTAGCCCTGGGATTCTGTGCATAGGGTCCTCAGGTGACCCTCTGCCCAGACCCCCAGGCAGCCAGCCCCACAGCCACCCCCAAAACAGGCTACAAAGGACATGAGTGCCCGCAGGAAGGAACTGTGGAAGCAGGCCCTCTCTACACTGCAGCCCTGGGACCAGCAGAAACAACAGCTCGAGAGCAGGTGGGCTGGGAGGGGCTTTGCTGTTAGGACCCTCTTGGCCCACTGAGACATCCTTCCCCAAGAAAGTCTGAGCTGAGTGCAGCAAAACAAGCCCCCCTGGCTCGTCACCTGTGGCTCAAGCAGCTAAGGCGCCAGCCACATACTCCTGAGCTAGTGGGTTCGAATTCAGCCCAAGACCGCCAAACAACAATGATGGATGGAACCAAAAAATAGCCGGGCGTTGTGGCAGGCGCCTGTGGTCCCAGCTACTTGGGAGGCGGAGGCAGGAGACTTGCTTGAGCCCAGGAGTTGGAGGTTGCTGTGAGCTGTGATGCCATGGCACTCTACCCAGGGGGACAGCTTGAGGCTCTGTCTCAAGAAAAAAAAAAAGCCCCTGGAGAGCTCTGACAGGCTTGGCTCACTGCCAGCCCTGTGGTCACACTGGCAGCCCCAGGAACATGGCGCTCTATTTAGGGGCCACAGGCCCTGTGTCCCACCCCTTCCGGGACTGCCTGGCACCTGGAGTACATGAGGCCCCCACACCCTGAGGCCTCCACTCCCCTGAGGAGCAGCCACAGAGGAAAACCACCTTGTCAGACAGACCTATGACAGCCACAGCCTGGGCTCCAGGGGGCAGGTGTGGCCTTGTAGACCCCTCCATGGAGCGTGGGGAGGTTGGAGCCCACACTGACAAGCCCATGGCAGGCCCTCTGATAGTGGCTGGTGAGCAAGGTGGGGCAGGGGTGTGAGTGCCCTTTGCTGGCTTCATTCCAGTTCCGACAGGTACCAGGCTGCCCAGGCGTCTCTGGTCAGAGCTTTCCTAGGGAAGTTTGACAAGTTTGTGGTCCCCTGTGTTGTTGCCAGCGGTGACATCAAAGATAGGAACAGATCAGAGCCTCTGACCTTCAGGTACGGAGTGCTCTCCAGTACAGGGCATGGGCGGGGTCTGGACAGCACGGCCCCTACTCTGCCCTCAGCATGCCCTTGCCCTACCCACAGCCCCCACAACACCCTGTACCTGGAGCTGTGGTGTCCAGCAGTGGCACCTCCTATCGTGGTGACATCAGAAAAGGGCAAGACCACCTTGAACTTTGGTGATGTTGCCGTAGGTGAGTTCTGATTGGGCCCAGACACTCAGTCTCCACCCCCGCCCCCACCCTAGGGACCTAGGCACACCCAAGCCACTGCCCACTCCCCTGCCCTGCCCCAGGGCTGTCCCTTGAGGCCTAAGGACTGTGACCTGCTCTCCTGCCCCATTTCAGGACACCGCAGCATAAAGAAGGTCTCCATCCATAATATCTCTCCCGAGGATCTCACCATATCCTTGTCCATACCCAGCTCGGGCAACTAGAGGGCCTGTGGCAGAGCCTGTAGAGGTCGCTGTCTGGCTCCTTGACCCTGACTCAGGTGGAGTTCTCAGTGCTGGACCCCAATGGCCCCTTCGTCCTTCTGAACCCCTGTGGCAGGCTGCACACAGGCGAGACCCAGGTCTTGGTGCTGTCCTTCTCTCCCCACGAGAACATCTTGGTGAGCCCCAGTCCCACCCCAGGTGACACTGTAGCCCTGAGATCCCCAGGTCTCAGGGACAAGGTATTATCCAGGACCAGAGGCTGCTGCATACCCAGGGCCCAGACTGACCAAGCCTAGGTCTGCCAGCAGCCTGCCCCAGGCCCTGCACTCACTGACAAGTGAGAAGGGAGGGTCCTCCCAGCTGTCCCAGCTCCCTCATGCAACCAATTAGCATGACTCTGACAGGCATCTGCTCCGGGCTAAGGGACATGGTCTCCTTAGGCTCAAGAAATGCTGGACATCATTACCAAGAGAGGCACGCTCACCCTTACCCTCATGGGCACCGGCGTGGCATCCATAATCATGTGCTCCATCGAAGGTGATGTGCTCAACATGGGCTACGTGATTGCCACGGAGTCTGTCTCCACAAGCTTCAAGGTGGGGCCCCAGTGCCTGCCCCAGCTTCCCAGAAGGGGTTTCCACTTGGGGAGGGGTCAGCCAGCCTTTCTGAGTGCCTGGCCGGTGCAGGAGCCAGAGGAGGCACAGGTGCCCTTCCATCCCCACCCCAGCAGCTGCCACTGCTGCTGCCCTTCTGGGAAAGCTGAGGTGTCCCCTACACTCCATACTGCCAGGGTCTTTGCATAATGCTCCCTCCAGCCACTCTCCTGCTGTGCTGCACGAACACTCCTTTAGAGCTCACCTTAGGCACCCCAAAGGGACTGGGTTTTGCAGAGCTCCCTGGCAAGGCCACACTGCCTTGTAACTCCCATGCCTGTGTGTGAGGGTAGGCGTCGCTCCCAGTGCCCTGTCCTCTGAGTGTGGCACCATCTGGGCTCCCTCACCCAGCTTAGGGCAGGCCCTGGAAACAGCACCCAAGAGGGGCCATCTTGAGAAGGGGTGCTCTCAGAAGAGGGAGTAGGTGTGGGAAAGAAGCTGGCAGGGACATGGTTCAGAGGAGCTCTAGAGGGCAGTCAGCCCCATAGACCTATCCACATATGCCAGGCAGGAAAGCCAGCTGGCAGCCTAGTAAAGGGCTCCTGTTAGGCCGGGCAGATGAAGTGAAGTAGGCACCAACAGTTGAGCAAACTGCTGGGCGTGTGTGTTGCCACTGCTGGAGTCACGGGCAATGGAGCTTGTAAGTGTGAGGGCACCTGGGTACCCAGTTGGTGTGGCCAGTGGCAGCTGACCAGCTTCCAGGCCAGCCAGGCCAGTGCAGTAAGCCCAGCCATTCCCACAGCTGCAGAACAACTCCTCACTTCCAGTCATGTTCTCTGTGCGGCTGGACAGCCTCTCTGGCCGCAGGAGTGAGGCCCAGCGGTTGCCACGGTTCCTTGCCTCACCAGCCCAGAGGACTGAGGTGGTCGGTGAGTGGGGCTGGGAGTGGGAGCCAGAGGACTCAGGGCAGGAGGGGGCACAGAGTCAGGAGCAGTGGAGGGGAGGAGCCTACAGGCAGACAGGGACTGTAGGGGAGGTCACACACGGCCGCTACCCCCAGGCACACAGAACTTCAGTGGCCAAAGCGTGTTCAGTGTGGTCCCCGTCGAGGGCATCATGGACCCAGGGAAGACACAGGACTTCACTGTGACCTTCAGCCCAGACCATGAGAGCCTCTACTTCTCTGACCGACTCCAGGTGGTGCTGTTCGAGAAGGTGGGCTATGCGAAGCTGGCCCCTCTGGAGGCCTCAAGCACCCAGCCCCATGGGCACCATGCCTGGGGGCTCTGCACTGCACTGGGGGGAATGAGGGGGTCATCTGGTGGAGAGACCAGAGTCCTACAGGTCCCTGTCTCTCCCAGTCCCCTCCCTGAGCCAACCTCAGCCCTCACAGCCAGGGCTCCCAGCCCCAAAGCTGCAGGGACCAGGCTGCTATGCTTCTTGTTCCCAGAAAATTTCCCACCAGATCTTCCTGAAGGGTATGGCCCGTGAGCACATGATGTTTGTGGAGGGCGGAGACACCCTGGACGTGCCTGTGGAGTCCCTGACAGTGGTCCCATTGTTTGACCCAGAGCACAGAGAGGGTGAGTGCCCCCAACAGGGGCTGATAGAGGAGCTCCCAACACACTCAGCTTCGACACAGACCCAGCAGCACAGGGCAAGGTCCCGCCCATGCCCCTAAGCCACCCTGACCAGAATTTCTACCTCCACCCCTCCCCCATGCATTAGCCTGACCCTGGGCAGCTCCCCTCACTGCCCTGGCCACAGCCCTGCATGGCTGGTTCCAAGCCAGATCCTCCCTCTCCAGAAGCAGAAGAGCTGAGGCCCATCTTGGTGACCCTGGACTATGTCCAGTTTGACACAGACACGCCAGCCCCGCCTGCCACCAGAGAGCTACAAGTGGGCTGCATCCGGACCACCCAGCCGTCTCCAAAAAAGGTGACCACAGCACTGCCTCTGGTGGCATCTTGGCAGCCCCCTAAGCCTCCCCTGCCCTGGGCAGCTCTGGCCCCTCTTGGCTTTACCCCTTTCAGGCTTATTTGCAACTTCCTGCAGCACACTAGGGTGGGCAGCCTGCTGGTCAGAGCTGAGAGGGCAGGTGGAGATGGGCGCCCAGCGAGCGGTGCCTGGTCCTCCAGCCCCCAGCAGCCCTGTGCCCACAGACGGTCGAGTTCAGCCTGGACAGTGTCTCGTCCCTGCAGCACAAGGGCTTCTCCATCGAGCCCTCCAAGGGCTCTGTGGAGCGTGGCCAAACCAAGACCATCAGCATCTCCTGGGTGCCACCTGCCAACTTCGATGTAGGTTCCTCAGGCTCCAGCCAGGGAGCCCCAGGAATGCCAAAGGCTGGGTGGGCCAACACCACCCAGGGAAGGGGTGGCCATGGAGGGCATGGGGAGGTAAGGTAGGCAATGCAGCAGGGAGGACAATGGGTCTGCCTGGGCTACATGTCAGCTAAGGGTTACCTCCCTGCCCATTCCAGCCAGACCACCCCCTCGTGGTGTCAGCCCTGCTGCAGCTCAAAGGGGATGTGAAGGAGGTCTACAAGGTCATCTTTGTAGCCCAGGTGGTGACTGGCACTGAGGCCACAGGAGCTCCAAAGAGTGCCCTTGACCCCTCCTGACCACCCTCAAAGCCCTCCCCAGGCTGTGGGCCAGGCCAGACCACCAGGGGCCTGGTGGTCCCCTACTGGGCAGGTTCAAATGGACAGCCCTCAGCATGGCCATACACTCAGAGCCAGCACACGGCTGGTCTAGCCCACAGCCTGCTGCTAGCCCAGCCCTCAGAGCCTAGCCTGTAGAGGCCCCAGGGGAGCCCCAAAGCCTGTCAATAAACTCTTGTGAGCCAACAGGTGCAGGCCTGCAGTGTGGGTGATGCAGAGTCAGAGGTGGGGACAGAGCCCTGGGGAAGCAGCCCCATGCCTCCTTAAGTATGCACAAGTGTGCAAGCACTGCGAATGCACACCACACACACACCACCCACCCCACACATGTTAATTCATCAAGCAACAAACTGCCTGGCAGGGCCTCCTGGAGGGTGGGAATCTTGCTGGACACACATGGGGAGGCCACCCCAGCCCAGATGCCAGGAGAGATCCTGAAGCCCAGAGTACTGGGCAGCAGCAGGCAGCATGGGGTCCTGGGGTACAGGACCCAGACCCAGAGAGGCCCAGGGAGGAGAGAAGAGGGCTGGGGCTCCAAAACTCAGGCAGACTCCTCCCAATTCCAGGACCCCTGACACCCTAAGTGAGGGGTCCCAGTTCACTCACTTGCTACCCTCAGCCCAGCCAGAGCCCAGGGTGAGGCCCAGCTCCAGAGTGTGGGCCTCCCTTTGTCTGAGATAAGGCCGTGCTGCACTTTTGGCGTCCCGACCTGTCCTTCAAGGGAGAAAACAACCCCCAGCACATGAGAGGCTCCTGTGAACTCAAAACAGTGCGTGGACTTCTTCCCAACCCCCACCTGCCAGCTCCTATCCTCTGGAGTGTCTATTGGGCATGTCCCTGCAGAGCCCACCCAGCCTGGACCTCCCATCACTAGGCAGCCTTCCTGGATTGGTGGGTGGACATCTAGGTGCTTTCCTGAGCACAGGCCTTGGGGATACCCATCTGGAACTGCCCACCCTCACTCCAAACCCCTTACTGGCTGACCTGTCTAGGAACCTGCCATGGCCCCAAACGTGAAGCCAGTGACTCTGATGCTGGAGGGGCATTTTATAAGACTTCTGTCTAGTGGGCCTTAGAGGTGGCAGGCCTAAGTCCCTCGCTGCCCCACTGGGGCTGACCAGCCATGGCCCAGGTCAACTTCTGTGCCAGATGGGAGAAGATGAGGTCCCCCAGACACAGGCCAGGCCTAGGCCTTAAGAGGAGGTGCTCCCTGAGCAGGCCACTCTCTTGTCATCCCTGGCCTGGCAGGTCCCTGGTACTCAGGGGCCAACGCCCTGCCCAGGTGCTCCATGAGGGCAGAGCCTTCACCTTCCCCAGCTCCATTCCTTGCTTCCTCTCCTTGGTCTGCGTGGAGAGGGGAAAGGGCCAAGGATCCTCCTGGAAGGGGGAGGTCCCCAGCCTCCTGTGAGCAGTGGCCATACCTGATGCAGCTACCGCATTCTGGGTCAGCTCCCGCGGGGCGCCGAGTCCAGCTCAGACAGGCTCAGATCGGTAGGGGTGATCTTGGTGGTCACGCCCGAGCGCGCGACCTTGGTGGGGGGAGACACGGAGTGCAGGATATGGGGGAAGGAGCACCAAGCGGGACTCCGGGCGTGTCAGGACTTGGTGGGCGTGTCCTGTGGTGGTGGGGCTCCTGGAGTGGGCTGTCTTGCAGCGGGCGTGTCCTGTGATGGGCGTGTTCTGTAGTGGGCAGGCCCCATAAAGCCTTAGGTCGGCTCCGCCCAGCTCCGCTGCCCCAGAACATGTTCCCGGGGTCGCCGGCTGCCTGTGGGCTCCGGCGGCTGCTGCTGCCGCTCCTGCCGCTACCGCAGGTGGGTCGGGCCGCCCGCTGGGTTCGGGCACAGCAAAGCGGGTGTGCGCATGAGCCCCGCCCCGCCCGGGCTCACCCTTGTCCCCGCAGGTGACGCTGAGCTTCACGGACGGCAGCTGCGACCCCTCAGACCAGTAAGTCGGGGGTGGGAGAGGGGGCCCTGTCCCGCCTTGTGGCTAGGGGCTGTGAGGTCGCAGGGTCAGTGCCAGCATCTCACTCCAGATGCCGCCATCCCGGCAGGTGCCCTCCCCAGGCCCGCTGGAGCAGCCTGTGGCACGTGGGGTAAGTGGAGACCGCGGCCCTAGGCCGCCGGTCCGACGGTTTCCCGGGGAAGACACCAGGACGATCCCGCCAGACCCCAACCCCACCTTGCCGCCTCCGTGTCCAGCTTCCCCTGTCCCCTCCCCTTGGCCGCTGGCGGAAGACTCTGGGGCCCTGGCGACCTGGAGCGAGTGGGACTCACCTTCAGAGCCTGCCGGCACTTTCCCACCCCTCCTGCCTTGCCTCTGTGGTCAGCGGTCCCAGCGCAAGGATTGTGCAGTAGGCTGGGGACAGCATGTCCTGGGAGTGAGACCAAGGCTACCCCTGGCCAACCCTGGAGAGACAGCCAGGGTAAGCCCAGCAGCTGGAAACCAGGGCAGGCCAGCTTCTCAGGCTGGGCTCTGGCCAGGAGATCTCCCTGTGGAGAGACAGTCTCTGTTTTTTTAACCTTGTCTGTTCTCCTGTCTTGGGTGGTTGGGCCCTGACTGTCCCTAAGATGCAGGGTCAGCAGTAGGGCCTTGCTCCCCTGCCCAGGCTCGTCCTGCTTGCGGTCCTCCTGCTGCTGCTGTGTGGGGTCACAGCCAGCTGTGTTCGGTTCTGCTGCCTCCGGAAGCAGGCGCAGGCCCAGCCACATTTGCTGCCAACCCAGCAGCCCTGTGACCTGACAGTTATCCCTATGGACAGTGACAGCCCTGTGCACAGCACTGTGACCTGTGAGTGCCTGGTGGCGCCTGCCAGGCAGCAGAGGTGGTGGGGAGGTGAACATGAAACCCACCTCCTCAAACCCCTTCTGGTTCCCTGCAGCCTACAGCTCCGTGCAGTACCCACTGGGCATGCAGCTGCCCCTGCCTTTAGGGGAACTGGACCCTGATTCTATGGCCCCTCCTGCCTACAGCCTGTATGCCCCTGAGCTTCCGCCCTCCTATGATGAGGCTATCAAGATGGCCAAACCCAGAGAGGAAGAGCTGATGCCTCCCCAGAAACCCAGCCTACTCGCTGGGGCCTCAGGCCTCCAGACTGCTCCAGGGCCCCAGAAGCCAGACCAAGATACCCAGCACTCCCACTATAGCACTGGTGCCCCTTGAAGGGGGCAGGAGAACCCCCTAAAGCCATCGGACCAGAGTTTGGGGTGTGGGGCACTTGGAGCCAAGAGTCCCCAGTCTGTCTCACCGTCTTCCTCAGGAAGACCTGCCACCCGGCACTTTGCTGCAACACCTGCCCCAGCCCCAACAGGCCCTGAGTCTGAGGAGGACCCATGGCCTGAGCCTCAGGAGCTAAGGGGCAGATGTGACAGCTACATCCTTTTAGAGAGAAAATAAAGTTTGTATTTAAGTAGGCTCCACCTGTGAGGGTAGGGCTTTGGGGCCCTCAGGCAGCCCATCCCCTGTGCAAGCAGGCAGGATGAGCATGTGGTCCCTGGCTTGTGCCCAGGCTGGGCAAAGGGTGGTGTCAGATGTCCTAGCAGAAGTGACTGGGGCCACATGCTCAGGCTGGCCCAGGAAAACCCTTTCCTTTCTCAAACCCTGAACTTTTTTTTATTTAGAGACAGAGTCTCACTTTCTTGCCTCAGTAGATAGTGCTGTGGTATCACAGCTCACTACAACCTCCAACTCCTGGGCTTAAGGCGATTCTCTTGCCTCAGCCTCCCAAGTAGCTGGGACTACAGGCACCCACTACAACAACCCGCTATTTTTTTGTTGCAGTTTTGGCCAGGGTTGGGTTTGAACCTGCCACCCTTGGTATACGGGGCTGGCGCCCTACTCACTGAGCCACAGGCGGCACCCGCAACCCTGAACTTTTACCACCCCCTTCTCCAGCTGGGGACAGTGAAGCACACAAGAGCTAGGCTGTGCATTTATTTGACACAGAGCTGGATGGAGCAAGTGGGTGGTCGGCAGCCTTCCCTGGGCAGTCTCTCCATGGCCCCTGCAGGTGCTCCTACTGGACCAGCTTGAAGGACTCTCCAGTCATCATGGCCACGAACTCTGGAGGCAGAGGGATAGGTGAGCAGCCGGCCCTGCTGGCTAGCTCTCAGCTCCCAGGGCCTGTGCCCACTCACCCTCATAGTCAATGGTACCGTCCCCATCTTTGTCCGCCTCCTTCATCATCTGCTCCGCCTCCACCTCATTGAGGGGCTCCCCAGCATTCATGAGCACGTACCTGAGGGGCCTTACACTAAGCCACACTGTCTGCCCGCCGGCCCGCCCGCCCATCCACCCCGCTGCCAGCCCCAGGCCCTACTTGAGCGTGTTCCAGTCAATGTAGCCTTTGCCCTCCTTGTCAAAGACACGGAAGGCCGCCCTCAGCTCGCTCTCCTGGTTCTGCGCCTTCTCGTGGTAAATCCCCATCAGTGCCAAGAAGCCATCACAGTTGAAGAACCCTCTGTCTGCAAGGAGATTGAGTGAGGCCTGTGCTGGGCCCCCCACCCCACACACGTGGACCACCCCACACAGCCCCACCCCTGCATGTTGCTCACTGTCTCTGTCCACGTCCTTGGCCATGGACCCCAGCTCGCTCTTGGTGGGGTTGATGCCCAGCAGGCTCATGAGGCGCTCCAGCTCCTCTGTCTTCACCTGCCCATTGCCCTCTTCATCAAACATCTCGAAGACTCCCTTGTACTCCTTGATCTGCTCTGCAGACAGGCGCTCCGTCTGCAGGGGACACCGTGCTGGCTGTGCCACAGCCCCCTGTGCCCCTCTGTCCAAGGGAGGATTGGAACCAATCCCCCACTCCTATCTGCCTGGCCTTTCAAGATGAGTAGTGAAAAGAGGAGGCCCCAGCCCTCGGGTTCTGGGACAAAGTGACCACTCTGTCTGCCAGGGAGCTTAAAGGGGTGAGTGAAGGCCCAAGTGAGCAAAGCGGGACCTGGTATAGGGGCACAGGATAGCTGTGTGGAGAGCAATGTCAGAGGAGCCTGGCCCAGGCCAAGGTGAAAGCTCCAAGGATAGGCTTCCAGGCCTGCGCATAGCCAGGACCCGCGGGATAGCCTGTAGGGCCCCCTGGGGACAGTCTAGCACTTAGCCACCACTGACTGCCACCCCTGCACAGTGGGTCCAGGGACACCATGGCCCCAGAATGAGGGCAGCATTGGTGGCCTGATCAGGCTACCTACACACCCTTTGCCCAGAGGTCTCACCCCAGTTTCTTCTGCACTGGGTGCTACTCCCAGCTGAGTGGGGAACCTGTGGCCTTCCTGTTCTTCAAGCACAGCCTTTTGACTGAATCCAAATTTTACAGAACAAATCTTTTCATTAAAAGAGAAGCAGCAAAAAAAGATGAAGCTTTTTTGCCTCCCTTGGTGCTTACAAAAGGACTATCTTCAAATCAGAAGGTCCAGGCCTCCACCCCAGCCAGTGGCCCACTGGAGAGCCCCCAGGAAGTGGCCTTACCATCTCTGTGGCCAGTTGGAGGGACAGGAGCTGCAGAGCTGTCGTGCGGGCTGCTGGGGCAGAACACAGGGCAATGGTGGCAGCTGAGTTTTAGCTGGACGTGGCTGCCTATGGTCCCTGGGGTCTAGATTCTAAGAGCCTTTTATGGGTGGGAAATCCAGCCTGCCCTATCCTGGGATGAGCTCTCTGCCCTTCCCCACAGAGCCTACTCCTGGCCCTCCTTGGCCTGGGCCTCCCCTCACCCTCCACATGGTTCCGTTCATCATTCCCTCTTAACTGTGCCACCCTCTGCCTCCCAGGGGCTGGTCGTCCCACTGCCGTGTATGAGGCCCTCATCCTAGGATGTCAGGACACACTGCTGAGACTTCTTGTTGGAGGCCCACCCTGGCCAGCTAGCACTCCATGGCCCAAGCCAGGCTGCCCTCCCATCCCCGTGGGTCTAGGCCCAGTGCCAGCACTTCACAAATACCCTCTAAAGACAGGCTAAATGGACAGGTTCATTAGGGACCCCTAGCCCACCTTGCACCTAAGGGCTGCCGATCCACAGTTCAAGGAAGGACTGCTAGACATGGGCTGGAGGCCAGAGGGGCAGGGCAGACAGGACCTGGGGGCAGGGCCACCCGCTGGGAGACTAGTCATGGTTGGGGGATATTCTGGGGTTTCTCAGGGAAACCTGACCTCCCTTACACTCAGAATAGCAAAGCTGGCTCTCAAGGGGGCTGAGTGTCCAGGCTGGCCAGGGACAAGGTGCCACAACAACACACCACCCTTTTCATACACACTCATACACATGTGCTCGCTCAGCAGACACACATCAACCCCCCACCATGCCCAGGTCTGCCTACCACAGGGCAGCTCCCATGGCTACTCCAGGCATGAGGGCTCACTCTGCAGGCACACACCAACCCCCGACCCAGTCCAGGTTTGCCCACCACAGGGCAACTCCCATGGCTACTTCAGGCAGGAGATGTGAGGTTTTTGGTTGCAGGTCTAGCCCCTCTTGGTCTGAGGGGCCCTTCTCACCCCATCCAGGCCCCCGCCCAGCTCCCAAGCACTCTGCACATAGCCTTTTGGGGTCACACACACACACCTGCTCCCCCACCAGCCCCTTGACTGCCTGATGAGTCCCAGCAGGTGGGGCGCTCCATGTGCCCTGCCAGCCTGCCCTCTGCCTGCCAGAACATGCGATGCATCCCGCTGAGGGCCAGACTAGCTGCTGAGGCTGAGTCTGTGCTGGCAGGGCAAGCCGCCTCAGCAGGCACTGGGTTATGACCCCAGGGAGCACCTCCAGCCCAGGGCAGGGGCTGGGGGAGAAGCTGGCTCTGGATTTGGTGAGGTAGAGGGTGGTCCTACACCTCCATCCTGTGCCCTCTGGCCTTGATTTCTCCCTGGGCCAAGGCAGGGGATGATTCTTAGGAGGGAGGGAGGCAGCACCCAGACCCGCCCACCTTGGGGTCCTGGCCCAGCATCCTCAGGTGGAGGATGGCCAGGTTACAGAAACATATAGGGGACTGCACCAACCACCTGGCCTTGAACAACACCCCACCTAACATCAATTATGTGCCTGTGGTCACAGTTGGTAGAAAACAGGCTTTTTTTCTTGCATCTTCAGGCCTCTGCTCTGACACTCCTGGCTGTGCCCCTGAAGGGTCCAGAATCTTGGTGGCTTCACAATTTAAACTCTAGGCTGGGATCCCTGCAGCCCAAGTTAGAACAAAAGCAGCTCTCCCCACCCCTCCCCAGGCCCTGATGTTGCAAAGATAAGGTGGGGCAACATATGGCCAGACCACAGCGGCCCTGTCCTCCTCCCTGTCCACTTCCAGGACTCCAAGAAAGGCAGGTCTCCCTGGTCCTCACCCTAGCCCTCTCCTCTGGCACAGGCCAACCTCTGACCGGCCTCTGCACATTCTGTGTACACCTGGGACCCGTGACCACTCAATCTCTATTTTCTTTTCACATCTCTTCTAAGCACTAAAGGAGTTAGGAAAACATGAGCAAGAAGCCCTATGCTGTTCATTTGCAGGGTCAGCCGCTCTCCTTGGGCACTGGTAACCCTGAAATTGAGTGCATTGGGCTTGCCTTCCCCTCCGTCCAGTGCATAGTCCAGTGTGTAAATCTGTGCACTTGTGCAACAGACCTCTAGAGCCTCTTCATCTTGCAAAGCTGAAACTCTGCCCCCATTACACACTAACTCCCCTCCCTTGCCTGTCCCCAGGCCTGGCAATGGCCTTTCTGCTTTCTGTTTCTGAGCATTTTTTTTTTTTTTTTTTTTTTTGAGACAGAGCCTCAAGCTGTCCCCCTGGGTAGAGTGCCATGGCATTACAGCTCACAGCAACCTCCAACTCCTGGGCTCAAGCGAGTCTCCTGCCTCCGCCTCCCAAGTAGCTGGGACCACAGGCGCCCGCCACAACCCCTGGCTATTTATTGGTTGCAGCCCGTCATTGTTGTTTGGCGGGTCCGGGCTGGGGATTCGAACCCGCCACCTTAGGTGTACATGGCTAGCGCCTTAGCCGGTTGAGCTATAGGCGCCAAGCCTGTTTCTGAGCATTTGACTACTTTAGAAACCTCAAGTAAGGGGAGTCATGCAGTGTTTGCCTTTTGTTACTGACCTATTTCCTTCAGCACAGTGTCCTCAGGACTCTTCGTGTAGCAACAGAGCTACCTTCTTTTTTAAGGCTAAATAATACCCCCTCGTATGGAGATCATCTTTTTCTTCTCTATTCACCTGCTGATGGACATGAGGAGTGGTTCCCCCTGCAATGCACACACCTGTCAGATTCACCAGCCCCCAGTCATGCAAGTCAATTTGTTAAATATGAGAGACATGTACGTATGTGTGTCTACGTGTAGGGACACATACACACACATCTGCATGTATTCAGACATACTCATCCTCCTGTTTCTCTGGAGACCACAGACTCCTGCAGAGGGTCCCCAGGGTGCTCTAGGGCTGCTCTGCCCACTGCAGGGCATGGTGTGCCACATGTTCTCTGGGCAGGTCTGGACAGGGTCACCAGTGCCCAAGGGGAGCAGCTGAACTTGCAAACGAACAGCATAGGCTGCTCTGGGTGCACTGGGTGAGAAACTGTGTGCAGCAAGGACACCCAGTGACCCCTTCTTGGAGAAGAGGAGACCCACTGACACAACCATTGGGCCCCAAAACAGCCTCAGGAGCAGATCCACCTTACCTGAGCCCCAGCTGCTGCAGACAGGCGAGGCGCCCCTGTCAGATCCTGCTTCCTCTTCCTGTCACAGGGTTTGTCCCTAGCACACCTCTTCTACCCCAAACTCCATTCCAGAGCCAGCTTCAGGGAGGCCGAGCTATGACAAGATGGGGTGCTGGGGATGGAGCCTTTGCTGTCCAACTGAACAAGCACCACTGTTCCAGGGGCCTATGTACCCATGTGGTCACCTGTTGCAGATGTCACTGATGGTGAGTTGGGAGAGGGTAGAGGGGAAAGACCAGGTAGCTGCAGCCAATTGGCTACAAATAGGAAGGGGAGGAGAGCCAGCCAGGCGTGAGCCCCATGTAAGCTCTGGGGGCGCTCTGGTTTCATGCAGCTCCTCTGCTCTCCACTCTGCAGTGGGATGTAAGTCAGAGTGGGACATCAGAAGTGTCATCTCTCACAGTTTGAATCTCATTCATTTGCAGGTTTGCTCCCCTCTCTCTATAAAAAGCTGACACTCCCACCCCCAATGCAGGAAGACTCCCCCCAAGGCAACATTTATTCCCCCAGAGTCCCCACCTGCTTGCACAGTGGGACGCCCACAGCTAGCGTTAGGGCAACCAGTCCCCCTGACGCTGCAGCAGGACCTGCTGGGGCAGGGCCCAGGGCTCCCTCTTGGGTTGTATCTTGAGCTCAGCAACAGGGACTCTGCACAAACCTCCGCTGCACACCCCAGCTTCTGCCTGAGGCTTCCCAGGCTGGGTATCGGGCCACTGTGCAGGGATTAGCCCCAGATAGTAGGACGTATGGAGGGTACACAGCCCCTACCCACAGCATCACCTACTCACCCCTTCTCCTCTGCAGCTCCCCCATGGGGCTTCCAAGAATTCCCTGCAAGTCCCTATCTCAGGATCTGCTTGTGAGAGCCCAGCCTGCACAAGGGTGCAAAGTGAAACCCAGACTATGGACCACCCGACCATACATGGCAGGAGGGGACAGGAGCTAATGGGCCTGATGGGACCTCAGCACTGTCTAGGAAATGGCTAGGGACAATGTTTTAGGCTTAAAATGTCATGTGAGCCAGTGCGGTGGCTCATGCCTGTAATCCCAGCACCGTAGAAGGCTGAGGAGAGAGAATTGCTTCAGCTCAGGAGTTCGAGACTTGCCTGAGGAAGACTGAAACCCCAACTCATAAAAAAAATGAAAAACCCAGCCAGGCACTGCAGCAAGCACCTGTAATCCCAGTGGCTTCCAGGCTTGGCACCCTTAAACAGTGGTTATGGTGCCAGCCACATGCACTGAGGGTGGCTGGTTCGAACCCAGCCCGGGCCAGCTAAACAACAATGACAACTGCAACAAAAAAATAGCCGGACGTTGTGGTGGGCGTCTGTAGTCCCAGCTACTTAGGAGGTTGAGGCAAGAGAATCTCTTAAGTCCAAGAGTTTGAGGTTGCTGTGAGCTGTGACATCATTGCACTCTACCAAGCGTGACAAAGTGAGGCTCTGTCTCAAAAAAAAAAAAAATCCCAGCAGGCTTCCAAAGGCTGAGGCAGCGGGATGCCAAAGGCTGAGGTTGTAGTGAGCAAGGATGCCACTGCACTCTACTCAGGGTATAGGAAGGGACTCTGTCTCAACAACAACAAAATGTCATGTGAAACATTTAAGGTAACCATAAAAATAATGGAAATAGGTTGCATAACCTCCACACCAAAGAAGAAAAAAGAAAATGTTACAAACCTTGCAGAACATAGGAAAGGAAAAAGAAACACAAGAAAAGCAGCAAAGGGCTCGGCGCCTATAGCTCAACCGGCTAAGGTGCCAGCCACGTACACCTAAGGTGGCGGGTTCGAATCCCCAGCCTGGACCCGCCAAACAACAATGACGGCTGCAACCAAAAAATAGCCG